GTCTGTCTGTCTGCCCTGCGATGGACTGGCGACCTGTCCAGGGTGTATCCTGCCTTCCGCCCAGTGACAGCTCCAGCACCACACCGCGACCCAGAAGGATAAGCGGTTTAGATGATGCATGTATGTATGTATGTATGTATTATTATTATTATTATTATTATTGTAAAAGGATTTAAAGAGACACAAACACTAAACGACTAAAGAACTTTAACACTGAGCAAAGATCTGTCACATGAGAAAAGAAGCCACAGATGTTCTCTAGAGTCTGTCAGCAGGAAATTTCAGACTACAAACCAGATCCATCTACTTCAGTTTCATAGAAAAACTTAACCTCAGACATCCTGTTTAGCTGAAGGATGGCACCCTGTTACATTCACCTACTCTCTCTCTCTCTCTCTCTCTATCTCTCTCTCTCTCACCCTGCGTCTCTGTTCGCAGACATTCGCCCTTCTTTTGCGGTGTGGTCATGTTAGCAGGTCATTCTGAGGTTTCTGAAGTGTCACAAGATGCCGAGTGCAGAGAGAAAACAATAAAAACAACAACATTTACAAAACAAGGCGTGTATAAAATGCTGGTATTAGTCTGCTAGTAAACACACAGACATAAAAATATACGTTTCTTTCAGAAGCATTTAAATACCACAAATTTCAATAACAATATTGTGGCCTTGGAATGAATACAGACCACAGTGACTGATTTTAATGGTGATTATTATTATTTACTACCTGTTTTTATTATACATTTTTAAATTGCAATGCAATGAGTGAGTGTTATACAGTGATGATTTAACAGAGATTCACCACACCCAGATTAATGCACGTGTTCTTCACTCCTAGCCCTTAGAGACCTACAATTTTGGAGATTTTTTTAGGTATTTTTTGGGTCAGTTACAATTACAATTGCAATTATAATGCATTTATATGTGACAGTCACACATGCCATATATTGTCATTTTCAGGAGACCCTGGACTAATCATTCTGTTGGTTATTATGAGCAAAAATAAACAATTAGCATAAGGCGGACATGTTTTGTTATTGATTTTCTGTCCTCTTGGATTCAGGCTCAGTGCTAAACCTCAGATACACAGTAAGACAGGCTCCATTTATAATTACAAATTGAGTTGCATATTTATTATCAGATATTTTTAATACTCAAAATCAATGTAAACTGAAAGCCCTTTGTTAATAATATAAAGGCTAAAAGCAGAGATGTAATATAACAGTAGCGAGTGGGGTTTGGGTGATTTTGGAGCTGGATTACTGGCTGATGGATGGTCACAGGTGGACGAAATCACTCTGGATTGTGAGGGCAGAGTCTGATGAGGCATCTGATGTGTGAATCATGTCACACGTTTTAACCCTTTGTTATTATGTTTGTTAATATGAAGGCCAAACAGCAGAGCAATAATATCAGGATTTTAGGTGATTTTCTGATCCAAATTACTCACTGATGCTGACATCACAGATGAGTAAGGGACAGTTCTGCTGAATGTCCTGATATGTGGATCATGTTTGTATCTTAAACCATTCCGAAGTTATGAAGGCTAGAAATAACCTACCGCAAATTGCTTAGGGTCCTAAGGGCTAGTAGAACTGTTTAAAAAATAAATGTGTAAAAACATAGCACGAGTTCTTGATATAACCTTTGCATTTATAATTAAATTCTCTCACACAGTGACGATCAAGACAATGTAGTTTTTTTCTGAAAATCAATGCTAATCAAACTGATTAACATTAACAACAGTTTGGGAAAGAAACAGATGTGCACAGTTTTCCCCTTACAGACCAAATGAACTTGATCAGACACTTACATTAACCTCAGAGGTCCAGTCTAAAACCACATAACCCAATGTCAAAAAACAAACCTCTTCAATTTGGGGAAAAATGGGGGGCTCTAAATGTGGTATCTTGCCATACTGTTTCTTTAAACACTTTAAATGTAATTTGATATAACACTTAAGGATGCATAGCATTAGTCAGTAAACTTCAGTTTTTGATTAACCCCTTCAGTGGCCAGGGCCCTTTTATAACCTACGAATAGTTTGCATTGAAGTGCTTGCAGTTACTGAATAAAAAGCCTTAGTATATAATAAGCCTGAGGTTTTAAGGGGTTTGTGGCATGCGCCCGTCCCTTGGGTCCCGATGATGGCTGTGAGAGCCAGTAGGAAGGCGGGGCCCGAACTCTGAGCCCAGATGAAACCCTGCAAGACAGCAGGGAGAGGATGAAATCCGCAAGGAAGTGGGGGGGCAGTGCACAAGGCCCGAGCCCTGCCTCCTAGGCACTGCCTCTGATCCCGCTGCGAGGCCAGAAGGAACAAAGAGAGGGACGAGCAGCAGCCGAAGCGGAGAAGACTGAAGAGCTAAAAAGCCTGGTTTGGAGAAAAGGACTGAAAAGTCTGGCTTTGAAGCCACTGAAAAGTGGCCAGCTTTGGTTGTGGTTTTGTTTGTTCTGTTTGGTTGTTTGGAATGAAAATTAAAGTTAAATGGCTGCTGCACCCTTGAACCCTGCCTCCAGTGTCCTTCCTGAGCCCATGGTAGCACAGGCCGAACACCAGCAGACCCTACTTTGAGCTCTGCTGTCATGAGGCATTGGATTGGCCTTATGGCTCAGCTCCCTCTTCACCACTACAGTCCGGTACAGCGACTGCATTACTGCTGCCACCGGTCCCAGCCTGCGGTCGATCTCACGATCCCTCTTCCCATCACTCGTGAACAAGACCCCGAGATACTTAAACTCCTCCACCTGGGGCAAGTCCTTTCCCCTTACCTGGAGTGGGCATGCCATCCCGGCTACGCCTTGACACCCTGTCCATGAATATCACGAACAGGAGTGGAGACAGGGCACAACCCTGGCGGAGTCCAACGCTAACACTGAAAGAGTCCGACTTAATGCAGAGTATACGAACACAGCTCTCACTCCAGGAGTTCAGAGATTGAATGGACCGGAGTAGTAGCCCCAGCACCCCATACTCCCAGGGGACCTCCCACAAGATATCTCGGGGAACACGGTCGTAAGCCTTCTCCAAATCCACAAAACACATGTAGACTGGGTTGGCAAACTCCCATGCCCCCTCAACAATCCGTGAGAGGGTGAAAAGCTGGTCCATTGTTCCACGGCCGGGACGGAACCGCATTGTTCCTCCTCAATCTGAGGTTCAACTATAGGTCGAAGTCTCCTTTCCAGCACCCTGGCATAGACTTTCCCAGGGAGTCCGAGCAGTGTGATACCCCGATAGTTGGCACACACCCTCCAGTCCCCTTTCTTAAAAATAGGGACCACCACCTCGGTCTGCCAGTCCAAGGGTACTGTTCCCGAGGTCCATGCAATATTGCAGAGGCGTGTCAGCCACGACAGCCCCACAATATTCAGAGCCTTAAGCATCTCTGGACAAATCTCATCCACCCCTGGTGTCTTGCCACTGAAGAGCTTGCCAACTACCTCAGTGACCTCCACCAGGAAAATGGAGCTTGACACGCCAGAATCCTCTGGCCCTGACTCCCGTGAGGGAGGCATGCCTCCCGGATTAAGGAGTCCCTCAAAGTGCTCCTTCCACTGCCCGACAATATCCTCATTTGAAGTCAGAGTTTCTCCACCCCTGCTGAATACAGCTTGGGCACAGTTGGGGACAGTTGTCCAGAACCTCCTTGAGGCCGACCAAAAGTCTTTTTCCATGGCTTCACCAAACACCTCCCACGCCCTGGATTTTGCTTCTACTACCGTTGCAGTTGCCACTTTTTTTGCCCATCGGTACCTATCTGCTGAGTCGGGAGTCCTTCGGGCCATCCAGTCCCTAAAGGCCTCTTTCTTCAGCTTGACGGCCTCCCTCACCACCGGTGTCCACCAGAGGGTTCTCAGGTTACCGCCCTGACAGGCACCAACAAGCTTTTGGCCACAGGACTATGTAAAAATGAGCTAAAGCGGTGAACTACAGTATGCAGCTAACTGAATTTCAGAATTCAGTTTTGACTAACTGGAATATAATAGTACTTAACTTACACAAGGAAAACAACAAACAAAAGACACAGAAACTTCCATCTCTATGATTACCAAACACACACACACATGCACACACACACACACAGAGAAAGAGAGAGAGAGAGAAAGACGAGACTTTAGAACATTTTAGTGTAATGTTTGAGCTCATGTAAAGAGGCTACAAAACTTTAGATATATTCGACTGATGAGTGACATCACAGTGCAGGTTTCTGCAATAACACCAATGACAAACTTACATATCACTAGACAAAGTGACCAGTGATTTTAGCAGAAACTCTGATTTACATTGCTTATTTTGCTTTAACTTCAAAACTTTAAATTAAATTTAAAAATGTAACCAAAGACTAAGTTCACTTGTTCAATTTCGTCCATTAAACATCTCAAAAAAAAGTCTCCCTTACAATTCGATTTTTTTCCACTGCTGAATAAAAAAAAAAATAACACAGAATGTTACACCAGCTTTTAGGACATTTTCTTGGTTGTTTTGTTTTATTTCCCCTTAATCTCCAAGAACCAGGCAAAAAAACAAAAAAAAAACACTTGCGAAATAAAGAGCAAAAAATGAATGTGCCGTAGTAGCTAATTTATTTATTTGTTTTCAGAATGTTATGCAGGCAGAAAAAAAAAAAAAATAAAGTGTGACTTTCTAATTTTTTTTTCATTTTGCCCTTCACAGCTTCTGTGTAATATCTCCTCTGCTGATTTCTTAAATGCTGTGCCATCAGTATTCTAGTTGACAGTGAACTCTCTCCTGCTCGTTGTAGTATATTATGCCACAATTTAACAACTATTAATAAACTATTATTAACGAGCCTGTAGCCTAAACTGAGCAGCTGCTGCAGCTGAACTCTAACATGCTAATTTAGCCAGCAGTGTTACTGATTACATTTTACAAGCTTGATCTGTAACGGCCCTCATGAACCCTCATATTTATATCCTAGTGATGTCATATGTTAGGCTACAGTGTGTTGCTGCACACTTAAACATCTCAGGAAGTCAGAGTCACTCTGTGTAGTGCAGCTGTCTCACTATCAGAACATCACTGTTTCCACACTGAATCTCATGATTCCTTTAGAATCTATCGAGATCTGGACCTCAGTGTCTTCACACTGGTTATCACCATGTACACAGATACTCAATAACTCACAATGAAGAAAACAGCAAGCAGTTTATTAATATCTCTTTAATAATGTCTCTCAAGAAAAAAAACAAGCAATGTTTAAAGGAAAGAGTCAGAACAAGCAGAGGAAAGATGAGAAAAAGACAGTATTAATAAAGATTAAAATTGCTTTTAAAATATAAACGTGCTGAGCAGAACAAATACAAAGTATTTGGCTTTTTTAATACTATTCAAAATCAATATAAATAAACATAAATACAATAGACTGTGTTGTTTTCAGTAGAGTTATGAATATGCAGGTTAGACGAAGACAGTTAGAAGAACACAGGTTTGGTTCATCACTTAGATTTGTTCAATTCATCACCTGATTTAATTTAATGAAGGACTGATTAGATAAACTATGTATTGAATGGTAACTGTTAATGCTGGACTTCCTCCAGGAGAGCTTAGATGGCTTAAGACTTTTGCACTGTACTGACCCGGGTCAGTTTGCCTCTTCAGTTTTAGTCCAAGGCAGCAAGATCCTCATCCCACAATTCAACCTTAATAATCGATTGGCCAAAAGCAGACATTGTTCCCTTCACCAGAACTCCTTTTCCAGAATATGTAATGACACCTCCTGTACCTTTCTCTCTGGTGAATAGATCATCGTAACCATCACCATCATAATACATCCGCTTAAATAGATCATAATTACATGGAATGTTTGCTTCAAAAATGCCAAGAGCAAACCAGTTTTCAAACAAGCTGTAGTCATAAGGCACAGAGAACATGATCGCCAGTTCACCAACAGGGTTTGATTTTTTCCTGTGGATTTGGTACGTCAGGACCCCGACAGAACCACGGGCTGCATATGAGGTTTTGGAAAATGTGCATGTTTCTTGTGTCTTTGTTTTGATAGTAGGTTGTGGAGGATGGTAACAGCAGCCACTGATGTTGTGGGTCCTGTTATATGGAAGGAAAGATTATAATTCATGATGTAGAATACAGATCTTATGGATCAATAAAATTGGATTACAGTTAATAACGTAATAAACTGCTTTTATAAACTGTCTCTTCGCCCACTGTAACTGGGCAACTTTGTGAGCAGAAGTGAGCAAAGGCCTTTTGCGTGCCACTCTGCTCCATATGTTCATAGTATGCATTTCCCTGTGGAGAGCTCTTTTAGAATTTTTTTTTGAAGAACCTGCGTTAACTTCTAGAAGCAATTCTTTTACAAGGCGTGAAAGACGTCAGTGGTCTCTGTCTGTCAGTTTCATCTTTTGGCCACAATTCTGCCAAAAATTCAGTGCAGACTGGGATTTTTACCACTGCTGGTAGAACCGTATGACCATAGCTTCTTCAGCTACTTCCTTCACACTATGGCCTTTGGCACACCCAAATGCAATCACTTTTTTGCCAATCATTAACATCTGCTTTGTGACCTATTTTCCATACACTGAATGAGACATTCCCTGCACTGTACCACCTCTTTTCAATCTATGAATTCCGTTGCACACCCCGCAGATATTTATACCCTGATCATCCTTGTGTAACACCATCTGCAGGAGCTTGAAGTTTCTACCACCTTAAACACACAAGGTAACTAATTTTTTTGTCCGGGGAGCTTATTTGAGCCTACGTCTTTCCTAACAGACAGCACAACATCAAAAGAAGTCTTCCCCCAAGAATTTTGATTTTGAGATATTCAGGGGATCCAAGAGATAAATTGGGGACTCCTGGACCCCCCAGCACCTCCTGTATTTTGCACCTTGCTAGCAGCCACATGTGATTCCATTGTAAACACCTGGAATACCATTGCAACCACCTAGAAACACCCTCACAACCACCTTAGGTACCACAGCAATCACCTATAAACACCCTACCAGCCATGTGGAACATCATAGCAACTACCTGTCAACACTCTATGTATGTATAGAGGTGCCAAAGGTACCATGGCAACCGGTTAGCAACACCCTGGCAACTACCTGGTATACCATAGTAACTACCTTTCAACACCCAAGCAAACATCTGGAACTCCATAGCAACCACTTAGCAAAATCCTAGCAACCACCTGTAAAACAATTGCAACCACCCAGCAACACAATAGTAACCACCTGAAATACCATAGTAACCACTTAGCAACACCATAGCAACCTTGGAACACCATAAAAACCGCATATCAACAGTTTAGCAATCATTTGTAATACCAAAGCAACCACCTAGCAACACCCTAGGAACCACTTCGTTACCACAGCAAGCACCTAGCAAAACCCTAGCAACCATCTGCAACATCACCAAGGAAAATCCTATCAGCCACCTGGGAAACCATAGCAACCACCTAGCAACATCCTACAGTTGTCAACAGCTACAGGCCAGTTTCACCCCTTTCTTTCCTCTCAAAAAAGAAAAGAGTGCAGTCTATAATCAACTATCTCTCTTTCTCACTCAGAACCAGCTCCAGGACCCCAACCAGTCTGGCTTCAAACCGGCGCACTCAACAGCAGCTGCCCTTATAGGAGTGACTGAGAGGCTCCAGGCAGCAAGATCAGACAAACTGTCATCTGATCTGATTCTTTTTAACCTCTCTGCAGTTTTTGACACAGTCAACCACAAGATCCTTCTGGCTGTCCTCACCAACCTTGGGATCACTGGCTCTGCGTGGAATTGGCTTGAGTCCTATCTGGAGGGGCATTCTTATCAGGTAACATGGAGACGGTCCACATCCTCTCCATGCAAGCTCTCCACTAGTGTCCCACAAGGCTTGGTGTTGGGTCCTCTTCTCTTTTTCACTTTACAATCGTTCTCTTGGTGACATCACTTTTCAACAACATCAGGAGGATTTGAATCTTTCTCGCTCAAGTGGCTACCCAGGTGCTCATTCAGCCTCTTGTCATCTCAAGGCTTGACTCCTGCAACTGACTCTTGGCTGGTCTTCCTATGCAGGCCATCAAACCCCTGCAACACATCCAGAATGCAGCAGTGCGGCTCGTCACTAATGTCACTCCACTGCTGCGCTCCCTTCACTGGCTTCCTGTTGCTGCACACATCAGATTTGTTGCCTACAAAACCAAAAACGGACCAGCCCCTCCCTCCCTAACGGCAATGGTCAAAACTCAAACTGTACCTCGAGCCCTTCGAGCTTCAAGTACAGCTTGGTTTGACCCATCATCCTGACTTTTCTCTGTCCTGGCAGCCAGGTGGTGGAACGAACTCCCGCTGGCTGTCCAAACAGCAGACTCTCTCACAGTCTTCAAATGCAGACTGAAGACACACCTCTTTTTACAGCACTTCAGTGAGCACTAAGTTAAGTACTTATTGAAATATATTGTACTGTTCTATGTTTAATTCTGTTTCTTTTCTTTAGATATCAACATAGACCTTTTTTCTAGCAGTATCTGAGCTCAGGACTAGCTTTCTTTCTAACCTATTTGTAACTAGCAAAGATACTTTCTCTGAGCGGACAAAAAAGCACTTTTGTAAGTCGCTCTGGATAAGAGTATCTGCTGAATACTGTAAATGTAAATCCTAGCAACCTTCTGAGAATTGATTAAGCTGCACAATTACTTTGCATTTTTATCATTTAAATGCTGTTGTTATTAAAGTGCTTCCAGGTTTTCTCACCATTCTCTCTAATAATCTGTTCGCAGTTACTCGGTTGCTCTTTGTCAAACTGGGTAAAGTTGTGATTGTAATTAATCCAGAAAGTTTCCAGTGATGGTGAGTTCTGCAGGTTAATAACCCAGAAGCCCATTTCAGTTTGAGTGACACTCAATGACAAAATTATTCTGTTCTTACCTTGGATTTGCTAAGGAGAATGTATCACTGTTATTGTTGATTTGAATGGTGACATTTCTGCTTGTGTTTAAGGTCAGGGATATTTGGTCAGCACCAGCAACAGCAGCTGATGCTACTTTTGCTGTAGCTGTTGCAGGATTCATCACCTGTTGAGAGTCCAAAAAATGATGTCTCTTAAAACACTGAGCATTTCCCTGAAACATGTTCCATAAACATTCATTATTTTTTACTGACGTTTTTCTGAGAAGCACAAGCCATGCTATATATTTGAGAACTACAGCAGATGAGAGTTATGTAAACCTTTTCTCTTTCTTAATGATTATTTTTAGTATAATAGTGTATAACTGTGTGGCTGCTTGTTGCTTCAACAGCTTTTGTCTTAGCAACAATGGGATACCAACAAAAGTGGGAGGGCGTCTTTTATTGGCCTTGCAGCAGTTTACACCAAGTTACATACTGGTGTATAAATTGGAGAAATCAAAAAGAATTAACTTCTGTTGGGTTTTTAAAAACATGATGAGCCACTGAAAAACAATTCATGTCATTGCAAATTTATATTTAGTTATTTGACCAAGTGGGTTTCAAGTTCTGTCCCACTTCTGCTGAACTTGAAAAAGTGGGACACTGTTTAATAAACTATTTATTTATTTGTGGTTTAATATCATAATCTAATGTAACACTTCTAAGATCTAACATGTCATGAACACTATGGTATGTCAGAGTTATCAATTTTTAATATATAAAATATATTTAAGCCAGAAGCCCTGCGATGGACTGGCGACCTGTCCAGGGTGTGTCCTGCCTTCCGCCCAGTGACAGCTGGGATGGGCTCCAGCACCCCACCGCGACCCAGAAGGATAAGCGGTTTAGATGATGGATGGATATTTAAGCCAGAATATTGCATAATAAGCCAAATCATGTGTGTAAATAGTACCAATACTTGGCTACTGACAGTACCCTGCTGTATTAATGCCTCTGTGTTGTGTAGTGTAGAGAAGACCACAGGCACTGACACTGAACCTGACACTGAGTGCGTTTACATGCATTCAGTAATCCGATAACTGCAGAAAATCAGATTTTTTCAGTAATCTGATCAACACATTTACAGACACTTGAGTAATCAGATAATGGGAACCTCCAGGTCTACGAGTCAGGCAATAATCAGATTTCTGCTTTGCAACCAGCCAATAAACTCACAGAAGAAGACGTGTTGTAATTGTGATGTAAAACTCAAATTTCATGGCGCAGGTTTTTTTTTTTAACATTGCGCCACTTTGCCTGAAAATATGAACTTATTCAAATCCTATTCAAATCCTTTATTTCATGTTTGGTTTCAGTGCCACTCCACAAGTGTTTTCCTGCCATCTTGTGACATCCACCATCTGTTCTTGCGCATGCGTAGACTGAGAAATCTGATAGAAATCAGAGTACGAATATACATGCACTGAGAAATCTGATTACTGAGCTAAAATCCAGCTCTCTTTATGGGATTTCTTAATTGGATTTCCAGATCAGAGTATGGTGTTTACATGACCATTTGAATAATTGGATAACTGCAGAAATCTGATTATGATCGGATTATTGAGTGCATGTATACGCACTCACTGACACTAAAACTTTACCTGAAAAAATAGTTTTAGTATTTGAAAAAAACAATTTAGTATTTGGTAACAGAAACTTTGGCAGATATCACAGCTTGCAAACACTTTTTTCATCCAGCTAGGATTATTTCTGTTCTCCTTTTAGGACTTTTCACCCACTCTTCCTTACAGAACACTTCTAGTTCTGTTTCTAATCCTTGGGTCATCTTGCATGGAGAGCATGTTTAAGATCTGCCCACAAAAGGGCCATTCTAAAAGATTTAGCATGCTTTTATTGAAGTTATCAATGGTGGATTTTGAAGTGTGTTTAGCATCATTGTCCTGTTGTAGAAGCCAGCCTTTTTTCAGCTTCTGTCACTTGACTGTCACAGTTGCTTCCAGAAATTGCTGCACAACGCAGAGTAAAAATTAAAATTATTTTTAAAAAATCAAGGCAACAGTTTGTATGGATACTCAACTTTCTGCTATTTTATGTATATTGAATCTATATATGTTACTTAAAGTATACTTGAATATATTACCACAGCATAATAAAATAACTATTTGTTTTTCTTTTATTTTCAACTCAAAACGTTTGGAATTTGGTCATGTTTTGTAGCACATACAACTAAATTATGTCAAAATAAAAGACTTTGAATTCTTTTTTGTTGAATTCTATTGGTTCTAAATAAATTTTGTTCTAGCAACATGGAAAGATCCATGCCAAATTTTGTCTTAATTTCTTTGCTTTCAGATTTCTTAAAATATAAGCCCACTTACCACTCAAATAAATACATTTTCAGATGTTACACATAAATAAAGTGGAAATATAAGTAATGTTATCCATCCTTATCTTTTCTGATCTAAAGATTTCCCCTCGTAAGTGTGATTAAATGACTCAACAGATTATTTGTTGAGTTTACAGAGCTTGTGCTCCCAATGCTCACATTCACAATCAGAATCTCATAGGTTTCACATGCGCATGTGTAATCTATATAGAGGAAGTTTCTGATTTGAATGCATGGTGCGTAATTAATGTTGCTCTGATAGACACATACAAGTAACGCTAATAACATTATTCTCATTAAGTCAGTAACTGTAATGAAATTATAAGATTTTATACTGTAATGCATTTCACTACCTACAGGGGAAAAAAGCAGTCATATTACTGTAACACATTACTTTATACAGTGTTATTGCATTTTTTTTTTAATATAATAATTATGAAGAATTCTAAAAAAATTACCAGACCTAAGGTTTGCTAGGGTTTGCTTTTTAACTATATATAACAAGACAAGTGCATTCAAACATATTCTTGAAACAAACTACTAACAGCTGCAACTACATTTCTTGCTCCTGTTTTATAAGTTTTTTGTTTTGTTTTGCTTTTTTGTCAACTTATTTGAATACTAGCATGTTGTTCAGCTCTTACCGGTGTGTGATCTCCTGCAGCCTGAAGCTCTCAGTGTCTCTTTACTGAAGAGTACATGTGAGTTACATGAACTTCTGCCCATTTCCGGGTGTTGTCTGCCACTCTGCTGCATCTGTATGCACTGTAGATGCCTGCAAACACACCCAGTTCACCACAAACACCTCTCAGCTGAAAACACATTCACAATCTTTTAGCAAGACAGGACAAACCACACAGTCAGTTTCACTTTGAAAATAGTGCCAACACATCACAATTTTACAAAAATGATACAGTTCAATAGAGAGGTCAGACAACCCTAGCATTTATTTAATTTCCAGTCATAATAGTTTTCTTAGTTACATCAAAAATTAAGAAATTTGCGAGTAGATTTGATTTGCGATTGTCCACCTACATTAAAAAGGAGAAAGTCAAAGTAAAAATAAGCTTCAAAGTCTCAAAGTCGCAGCATGTTGAGTTAGAATTATTTATTGAGCTCATTGTGTAGAACTTAAGGTTTGAGGATATTTACATCCAAATCTGATAAACAATAGGAGTTGTAACACTTTTCATACGCAGTTGCCAATTTTTAAGGGCTCAAATGCAATTCCACAAACTAACATAATCACAAATTAAATTGTCATTTTTAAAACTTGTCTGTCTGAAGTCTGAAATCCATAGACATCACCAGACACTGGGTTTCTTCCCTTGTAATTCCCTGCTTGGCCTTCACTGCAACCTTCTTCAGATCCTGCATGTTCAGTCTCGATTTAACAGTATATGTCAGGACATCATCTGCACTATGAAGTGCCATCCAATGAGTTTTGGAGCATTTGGCTGAATCTGAGCAGATAATAGAGCTCTGTACTAAAGTTCCTTTAGTAGCCATACATGCCCACACCATAACACTACCTCCACCATGCTGATGGATGAGGTGGTATGCTTTGGATCACCTTCTCTTCCCCATTCTCTTCTCTTCTCCTCATTTTTGATCTATTTGATCTTTGCCTCATCTGTTCAGTCTGTACATCCAAAACTGTACAGCCTTTACATTTTATTTTTTTTAGCAAATGCTAGTCTAATTCTTGTTTTTCATGGCTTTCTGGGGCTTTTGGTGTTTTTGAGCTCTCTAGTGCATTCTTTCCATTTAGGAGTGCTCCAATTAGTTTATTTGGCCATACCTAATGTTTTCTGCTGTCTCTCTGATGGGTCTCCAGTTTCAGCTCATATTTATTATTTCGTTTCAACTCAAATATACTGTGGTAAACAGCTAAAATAACAATAACTTTGTCAACCTTCAAATATTTATGAACTTATACACTGTTGAAAATAAAGGTTCTGCGCAGGCTTTCTTTCATCAAGGTATAAACAATGTAAATGTACCGCAAAGGTACAACAGTGGTCTGGAGAAATCTCAGTCTGTGTAGAGCAGGCATGTCAAACTGGGGACCTTCTGGGCTAAAGTGCTGTGGAGAACAGCGTTTACCCTCATCTATCACTCTGAATTCAGTTCATGAAGGTCTTGCTGATTAGCTGATGAGCTGAATCAGGTGTGTTTAATGGGGCAAATGCTGAACTATGCAGTGTTTTGGCCTGCAAGCACTGGAGCTTGACACCTGTAGTGTAGAGCAACTCTACAAAAAAGAAGTTATTACAGTGTGCTATTAGTGTACTGTGGCATGGGCCCGAACACACAGTGGTGACGAACCTTGGTGAGGACAGCAGGGAGAGAGCGGTGAGTGGGGAGAAAGCGAGAGAGAGGAGGCCGAGCAACAGCAGCAGCAGTGACTGAAGAGCTGAAAAGCTTGAAGAAGACTGAAAAGTCTAGCCAGCTTAAGCCACTGAAAAGTTTGAGTTGTTTGGCGTTTGTTTATTTGCTTTTTGTTTATTGGGTAATAAATATGTCTGCTGCAGCACTGAACCCTGCCTCCAGCGTCCTCCTTGAGCCTGGGGTAGCACATGCCGTGCTACATGTACGTAATTTAAACTAAAAATAAATGAGTCTACTTTAATTGGCTTTTTATGAACTTATCAGAGGTATACTAAACAAAATGATACTTAAGTATACTTGGCTTATACTGACAAGTATACAGAAAAATGTAAGTATTTTAGCCTATTCTTGTACTTATACATGTATTTGTATATATATAAACTTGTTTATACCTATACAAATATTTGTGGCCTGTACTTGTAATTATACTTTATAAAGTGTTCTCTTATGAACTAAAAAGTAGGATAGAAGTATATAACTAGCAAATTACTAAACATTATACATGTAAGTTAACTTTTAGTATAGTTGACAGTAGGAGTTGCACAGACTATTCATCAGAATCAGAATCAGTATCAAGCTTTATTGGCCAGGTATGCTTACGCATACAAGGAAAACATGCATTCCTACCATCACTCACTCAAACACCCACACACACCGTCATACCTGTAAACCTAACATTGTGCAAAGTATGAGTCTAAAGTTAAAGTGCTCATGACTTATTGCTCAGTGATGATGCTTTAAGCTTGATGTCATCTAGTCGTTGACCATGTGATTATGACAATAACAACGTGCATGCCTCAGAATAGACAATAGGTGAAGAGCCTGGTGATTTCAGCATCTGTAATTCCGGTTTCCTGAAGGCTAGCATCGCAGTCCAGGGCTCATTGGAAAAGAAACTTAAGTTTACTGCTTAAGTTTAGTTAATAAAATGTTTATTTTATGAATAACTTGATAAAACTTTAAACATACTATTTTTGTAGGGGAAGGCTGTAAATCACTGTTGAAGGTGCGTGACTTTCAAGCCCTCAGATGGCACTGCATCTGTCATGCTACTGTGTTAAATATAGCAATTTGGTCTCAGGAGTTCTTCAGAAAACAATTATCTGCCGCTGCATCAAGAAATGCGACTAGAAACTTTATTATGCTAGGATAAAGCCATACATCAATTCTATGCAGAAACACCGCAAAGTTCTCTGGGCCTGAGCTCATCTCAGATGATCCGAAAGACAGTGGAAATGTGTGCTGTGGTCAGATAAGTCCAAGTTTCAGCTTGTTTGGGGAAAAAAACAGACATCAAGTTGTCCATGCCAAAGAGGAAAGGGGCCATCCAGACTTTTATCAGCAAAAGATGTAAAAGTCAACATCTGTCATGGTATGGGGTGCATCAGTGCCCACAGCATGGGTGACTTGTATATGTGTGATGGTACCATTGATGCATAGGTGCAAATTGGGATGTTAGAGAGACATATATATTTTTTCAGGAAGTCAATGGTTATTTCAGTAAAGACAATGCTAGGCTTCATTCTGCATGTGCTACAGCATGTATGTAGCTACATAGACACAGAGTATGTGTACTTGACGGTAACAAGAGTATTTAGAGATTGACCACAACCAGATTAATACACCTGTTCTTCACTCCTAGTAGAAATATTGAAAAAATAAACACATGTAAAGACACAATAAATTCTTGATATAACTTTATTTTACACAGAGGTAAATCTCTCTCATGATAGTTCCTGCTCAGATGGTGTTTTCCTTCCTGAGTTAGTTTGGGTCTTCTGTAAAAAAAGAGATAATTTAATCAAACTGAATGGTGAATAAATAGATAAAACGTTTAGCTATACTTTGTAGCTACGTTAGCCTCATGAGTGCAGTGTAAAAACAATTAAACCAATTAAATGTGGTCTTTCATCAAACTGTTTCTTTAAAACCTTTAATTTGATATGACACTTAACTGCATTACATTAGTCAGTGAAGTTGAGTTATATTTTCACACTGCAGTTATTTTTTGTAAGACAGTAGATTTGAAATCACTTATGTATTTACATTTAAATAATGTGAAACGAATGTACTTCAAAATAACACAAATAACTAAAGAAGTTTTTAGGTCACCAGCCCAGCTGTGATCTAGTCTTGGCAATGGCAATACACCTTAGGCAAAACCTATTAAAACCTGGTGCTGGATTGCAGTGATAACAAGGACAAGCCCCTCCTAAACCTGCCCCCAAATTCCTCTAGCCTGGCTCTTTTGATATCGTTTCCTAGATCATCTGAATAGGGCAGTTGAAACTATACTCATCAGTGTAGATCTTCACGGATGGATACCTTTAAACCAGAGGATAGCTGGTGAATGTAGCAATACCACACTGGTTATCCTTGTTCCTGGACATCCTTATATAGCCTTTTTCACCCCATTGAGCACCCCAGCTGTAAAAAAATATAATGTTAGTGTGGGAATTTGGAGCAATTGCATTGCTTGGATACCCAATTTTGATTTTCTTTTTTTACCTAAACCTCACAGAAAGCACTGGACTTGTTTTTACTCTTCCAGTGTTCCTTTCAATCAGAACTTACCTTTTTGAAATATTTAGGTTGTTCATTTACCTATTCTTGACAACCCAGTAGTCTTCTCCGTAACTGTCAGTGCCATAACCAACAACCAGGACAGCGTGATTTGGTTGTTTGCCACAGTATGGATCATCATAAACACCTACAGTCAGTCAGTGTATTGAGATAAACATTAATTGATTAATTAGGAACTTGGTGCAATGACTTAAACATGATAAGACATCACAGATCACATCAAGACATCACCAAAATGACCAAGCAGAGTGTCACTTTAAACTTTGTAGCTTATAGTTTCTACCTGTTCTTTGTGCCTCACTTCTCCATTTCATCATTGCTGTCACCTGTGTCTTGTTTAGATTTCAATTCTTCTGTTTGTATATATGGTCCTTTTTTGTACCTTGTCTTTGTAAATGTGGTCAAAAGTGTTTCCCAGTTTCCTGCTTATCACTAGGTCTTGTGTTTTCTTCTAGTTCTAGTTTCTAGGTCATAGGTCACTATCTCTTGTGATTTTCTGGTGAGTCTGTTTCTCGTTGAAACCTCTGTTTCTTGACCGCTGCTAAGCCTACTGATACTTTAATGACACTCAAGTCCTACTGATACCTGAAGGCACTTCACAAGGTGTTTTGAGAAGCACTGGAGATCCAGTTGAGTCTAGTATAAATATATTAGTTTCCTCAAGTCACATATGAAATCTTTATTCTTCCCAAACCAACTTCACAACTAATGCAATAACAGTAGTTGGCAGATTGTGGATGATTAATGTTTGGACAGATATACGAGATACACATATTAACAAAGGTAAATAAACCCTGTTGGTCACCTGACTTATAGAGTTGGAAGGTTTTACGATTGATGTTGACAGCTGCAGAAATTGGCCCAATTACGGCGACGGCTTCCTGCAGAACGTTTTCATCTTCACTGGGCAGCTCTTCGTAGCCACTGCATGTAGCACTAGCATTCATTGGATTGAACCTGCAAATCCCGTCCTGGAGACGAGATGGGAACAATCAAGGTTGGGTAGTTCTGGTTCAATGTTTAGGAAATTAACCCAGAGTTTTCCAATCCCAAGCTGTGGACAGCTTTTTTCCTGTTTCGCTTAAGTAGTTAATTTGCTATCTCATAAATGCATCACTAGTTTGAGCTCACCTTGGCCTCATAAGGATAGGAGGTCTCTGACTGCAGCCCTCCGCTGTGCATGACATACTTGAAGGCGTGTTCTGTCCAACCGCCTGCACAGCCTTGGTTTCCTGAAAACCAAGAGCAGTCGACCAGCTGCTGCTCACTGAGAGATACCAGATTCCTCATCTTCCGAAACATCTGACCCTCTAGCGCCCCCGTCTGAGAGAGAGGAAAACAATGGAAAACAAATTTAAAAAGAGGAAAAGAAATAAGTGAAATGTATGAGACATATATCGTATTCAAAATGTATTGTAAGCTCTATATATATATATATATATATATATATATATATATATATATATATATATATATATATATATATATATATATATATATATATATATATATAAAGGGCGGCACGGTGGCGCAGTGGGTAGCGCTGTCGCCTCACAGCAAGAAGGGCCAGGGCTCGATTCCCGGCGGGGCGGCCAGGGTCATTTCTGTGTGGAGTTCTCCCCGTGTCTGCGTGGGTTTCCTCCGGGTACTCCGGTTTCCTCCCACAGTCCAAAAAAAACAAGCAGTCAGGCCAATTGGCCATGCTGAATTGCCCCTAGGTGTGTGTGTGATTGTGTATGTCTGTCTGTCTGCCCTGTGATGGACTGGCGACCCGTCCAGGGTGTATCCTGCCTTCCGCCCAATGACGGCTGGGATAGGCTCCAGCACCCCACCGCGACCCAGAAGGATAAGCGGTTTAGATGATGTATGTATGTATGTATATATATATATATATATATATATAGCCAGCAGGGGGCAGTCTCCTGCTGCAACCACCACTCACTGTGCTACTTACAGCAGCTCTTAAACTGTTAGCTATCTGAGCTGGTCAGTGGTAAGCTAATTAAACTAATTTTTGGGGGAAAATGCTTGGAGTACCAATATGGTGGCCAGGTTTAGTCAAGCAAACACAGTTTCTACAGGGAACAAACTTAAATATGTCAATTTTCTGTAAATTCTAGCAAACAATTTCTATTTATTTTCTGTGTTTAACATATTGAAAAAAACATAAACATAAAAAAACAACATAAAATATAAAATGTGCCATAATCTTTGCACAGGCCACTCTTTACAGTTATTTTTCGCCCAATATGTTAAATTCTGCAAATAAACAGAAATAATCACAACAACATGTAATTTGACCAGGTGCTCCAACTTTTGCATATGACCAAATATCTGTGGGTGTCCTATGAGACTCTGACTGAACTCACCGCACTGAACGCCCAGCAGGAGCTACAAATATATTGGTTTTTAACCTCAGTCACATAGCCCATTTCCCTCCAGTCCACAGTTCTAGGCAGAGCAGCGCCCCCTCCCTGTTGGAGAAATGTAGTAGCACCGCGGCTCTTGGTCCTGTTGAAGGATTGCAGGCAGCCTTTGAACATGGCCTGGTACTCCTGGTTGTCCTGTTAAAGAGGTATTTAAACAAGGTGTTTCCTTTCGAGTGAACAGCCCCAATCATGCTCCACCCATGAAGTGTTACAAATGTATTATACATGGCTGCTGTTGTAAGGTTTGAGAAGGCTGACAGAACACTGGAAAAAATCTCATTTAACTTAATGAGAAACTGTAGAACAGACTCAGTTTATATCACAATACCTACATTTAGAGTCAATTATTCATTCAACCTAATGAGAAACTGTAGAACAGACCCAGTTTATATCACAATACCAACATTTAGAGTCAGTTATTCATTCAACCTAATGGGAAACTATAAAACAGACTCAGTTTATATCACAATACCTACATTTAGAGCCAGTTATTCATTCAGCCTAATGAGAAACTGTAGAACAGACTCAGTTTATATCACAATACCTACATTTAGAGTCAGTTATTCATTCAGCCTAATGAGAAACTGTAGAACAGACTCAGTTTATATCACAATACCTACATTTAGAGCCAGTTATTCATTCAGCCTAATGAGAAACTGTAGAACAGACTCAGTTTATATCACAATACCTACATTTAGAGTCAGTTATTCATTCAGCCTAATGAGAAACTGTAGAACAGACTCAGTTTATAACACAATACCTACATTTAGAGTCAGTTATTCATTTAACCTAATGAGAAACTGTAGAACAGACTCAGTTTATATCACTATACCTACATTTAGAGTCAGTTATTCATTTAACCTAATGAGAAACTGTAGAACAGACTCAGTTTATATCACAATACCTACATTTAGAGTCAGTTATTCATTCAGCCTAATGAGAAACTGTAGAACAGACTCAGTTTATATCACTATACCTACATTTAGAGTCAGTTATTCATTTAACCTAATGAGAAACTGTAGAACAGACTCAGTTTATATCACAATACCTACATTTAGAGTCAGTTCTTCATTTAACCTAATGAGAAACTGTAGAACAGACTCAGTTTATATCACAATACCTACATTTAGAGTCAGTTCTTCATTTAACCTAATGAGAAACTGTAGAACAGACTCAGTTTATATCACTATACCTACATTTAGAGTCAGTTATTCATTTAACCTAATGGGAAACTATAAAAAATTCAGTACCACTTTATTTCATGGTTTGCTATGTTTTTACAGAATTTGATTTGCAGGTTCATTATATAAGTAAAGTTAAACTAATGTGAAAAATACAAGGTATATTTCAGCTTTTAGTGACTCAGCAGTTTTCGGTAAATACATGCATTTGTGACAGAGAAGTAGAGAGAGAGAAACAAAAAGCAATGATGTGCAAATCATTTAAACCCCATTTTTAACTGAAAAAAGTACAAAGACAACATATTAAAATAGTTGTTGAAACTGAGAAAATTGTATTGTTTTTTGAAAAATATATGCTCATTTTGAATTTTATGCCAGCAACACGTTCCAAAAAAGTTGGGACGTGCATGTTTACCACTGTGTTTCATCACCTCTTCTTTTAACAACACTCTGTAAGCATTTGGGAACAGAGGAGACACTGCTGCAGTTTTGAGAGTAAAATCTTTTCTTGTTTGACGTAGGATTTGAAGTGTTTTTTTGCCATTACACAGCTTTACCAGCGTTTTGTTGCCCCGTCCCAACTTTTTTGGATTGTGTTTTTGTCTTAATACAAAGTTTTTTTTTTCTTCCACATGTTTCCCAAAAACAGTTTATTCCACTGTTTCTTTTGTGCGTTTTCTGCAAAGTGCACTAGACCTTCTTACCAAACAATTCACTGAATTGTATAATGAATTAACAGATATTGTGTCAAATTATGCATGTATGGTTGTGTATGTGACATCTCACCATGTCTGCAAAGTGGTTCATGCCGAGTCTGTAGCTTTTGATGCCCTGGTCAGCCAGCATGTTGTGCTCTAGGACCAGTTTACGATTGTCCAGCCAGATCATCTTACGCTGAGACTCTTCTTCCTCTGAACCATAACTCTTACCTGAGAGATTAACATATATACACACATGTAGGAGGAGTTTGAGAAAAGAGACACATATCAAAGTGACAAAAACATATTAAAAGAGTTAAATTCCTAAAATGCTAAATGGAAAATTGTCCGATCGGGATTGTTCTCTCTGTGGTATCTAGGTAGATACAGCCAAGTGAGCTCTCCTTGATTAGGACTTCAGAAGCTGGATTGAAGGCCTTACATGTTAGATTAATTACCAATATGGTTAGGAAGTGACAGAGGAATCAACCAATCATGTTCTAGATATGTAACTGACTGTGAAGCTGTAGTCAGGTTCCAGTTGCTTGTTAGAATGTAAAACAGCGGCGGCAGCTCCAAGTCAGAACTCTTTACTGAAAGAGTCACTGTAAAACTGATACATACAAGCTCAGATATATGATAATGTCTATTACAAGCTTCTAATAAAACATATTCATAAGCTTCAAATATTGTCTTTTAATCTAAAACTGCCTAAGAAATGATTATGAGAATCAAAGTTAGCTTAGCGCTAACATGCAAGAATCTCAGAATAGGGGCATTCACAGAAATGAGCTTTATACTGAATTGAAGGCCGAGCTCCTACATTCATCGTTGTCCACTACTACTTCTTTCCACCACTTTGAGAAGGACAATTTCAAAGAATCTTTTTTTGCAGTTGCTGTAACTTCCTGCTGTAAATATTCCTCAGTGTGGCACAGTATTTGGCAGCACAGTGACTCAAAAAGAATGATCCAAAAATTTTAACCTGGTGCCTCGAACCCTTCTCTGATTTCCTGATGGAGAATCTGTTATACAGAAACAGATATGATGTAGATTGCTCACCAAACTTCAGTTTCCAGGTGTTGAACTCCAGATCCTCCAGAGTGACACTGACAGCACCAGCCACGACCACAAGAGCGGCGACAGTGAGCAAAACCCTCATCCTGCAATGATAAATAGAATTGACTAAGCTAGATTTTTATTACATTCAGACACTCACAGTAAATACATTTAGCTTAACAACAATACATTACTGTCGTAAAAAGAACAGAGTTGACATCTAAAACTGAGTGTTCTGTTCCTGTCCTCAGGAAGTGTCATAAAAGACTATTTACTGTAACTGTTTAAACCACGAGGACTGAACCTGAGAGTTGACTTATAAGAACCCCTCAACATTAACATGCTTATCAATGAATAATAAAGTAAAACAAGGAAAAAGAACAGAAAACTAGAAAATAAAACAATTCCCAACAGTTTAGACCTGTGAGAGCTCGCTCAGATCTTTTTAGATGTGATTTTATGGCTTACTTTTCAGTGCCATGCATATTATTGTGTATTGGGCTGGGCTGTACTGATGTTTCAAGTAATGATCAAATACAGTAAATAAGATTTACACTGATCAGGCATAACATTCTGACCACCTCCTTGTTTCTATGCTCATTGTCCATTTGATCAGCTCCACTTACTATATAGGTGCACTTTGTAGTTCTACAGTTACAGACTGTAGTCCATCTGTTTCTCTGCATACTTTGTTAGCCGCCTTTTACCCTGTTCTTCAGTGGTCATGGACCCCCATGGACCCTCACAGAGCAGGCACTATTTGGATGGTGGATCATTCTCAGCACTGCAGTAACATTGACTTGGTGGTGGTGTGTTAGTGTGTGTTGTGCTGGTACGAGTGGATCAGACACAGCAGTGCTGCTGGAGTTTTTAAACACTCACTGTCCACTCTATTAGACAAGCCAGAGATGATTGCTCATCTCTTGCTGTACAGTATGAGCTAATCATCCTCTAGTCGTTCATTGGTGGTCACAGGATGCTGCCCACAGGATGCTGTTAACGGGATATTTTTGGTTAATGGACTATTCTCAGTCCAGCAGTGACACTGAGGTGTTTAAAAACTTGAATGATCCACCACCCAAACAGTACCTGCTCTGTGAGGGTCCATGGGGGTCCTGACCACTGAAGAACAGGGTAAAAGGGGGCTAACAAAGTATGCAGAGAAACAGATGGACTACAGTCTGTAACTGTAGAACTACAAAGTGCACCTATATAGGAAGTGGAGCTGTTACCTGATGTATTGCTGTGTATTGGGCTGGGCTGTATTCATGTTTGAACTAATGATCAAATACAGTAAATAAGATAGAATATAAAGTATAATCTAAGTACTCTCTGGCAGCTTTGATGCTGGAATGTGTCCTCATCATCCAGATTCTGTAATTTTAGCAGTCTTAGGCTTCAAAAACAGAACGTTGCATGACTTATAGACCAGAATTGTATGTATAAAGGTGTATAAAGGTAATTCTTTGCATTTTGCTTATGCACTAATACTCAATGCCAGTAAGCTCTCTTGCAGGTTTCTGTGAATGTTTTCAAAGATTTTATATGTATTTTAAATTTGCTATATATTTTTCATTCCCACGTCTTTGGCTTCTGATTTTTATCATTTTATTTCCATTCCAGTCGACTTTTCTAATGGATAACTTTTTAATGATTGATGTTTTCTGAGGGTTTTTGCATATACTCTATTTACAAATACTGTAGTGCCTTTGGATGATTTGAAAGGTACATATAAATCAAATTATATTATTATTGTTGTTGTTAATGCTATCATGAAATTGTCTTGTAGTACTAAGTCAAAGTGACTGGACATGTTAATTAAGAAGACATTTAGTTGCCATTCAGTTCCCAACACTGACTGATTTAAAATGGGCTAAAACGTCTTGTCCATCTTGTCCAGTCTTGACAGCCCTGATATTTTTTTTTCTCACCATATTGTACAATTTCATAAATATTGAGGATTTTAGAAAATGCTGTTATACTAATTATTATGAAAGACTATTTAAAAGAGCCCTTTAATTATTTATTTAAGGCCGTTCCAACACTCCTTTAGAAGAGACACCAGGATATGTCATCCACTTAGTTTAGTTGTTTTCTAGTAACATTGAATTTAAAAATATATACCTTGCCAGATGATTCAATGTTTGTTTTGCTTTGAGTTTTTACTTTCTTTTTAAGCAAAAGGTCACATGTTCCACTTTCTAGTATCAGTCAAAGTGTAAATCTGTTCCCAGAGCTAATGACAGAACTAATAACTATGACAGCTGACAGTAAACTGCATCACTGGAAAGTAAGTGAAATCTCAAGCAGCATCTTAGACACCTGCAGTTGTTTCTACTTTCATTTTTGTATTTTTTTCATTAGCATCAGTATTTTTTCTTCACAGCAAGTTCTCGAGTTCTTCCACCTTTATAAATGTTCTAGATCTTACCTCTCTGAGTTCTCCAGCAGATTTGAAGCTCTCTGTGTGCAGGAATATATGTGCGTCTGTGTGTGTGTTATGGAAGTATCTGCCTCCTGTTTCCTGACTTCATTTCAAATTGTACTGATACATCTTTACAATCTTAGATGTTTGCACACCTTCCACAGACTTGGCAGGACAGGACTGACCAGATTGTCAAGTTTTGTTGCGAAACTGCTGCTAATGCCACATTTAATGTTCACAAGTTTTACAAAAAAAAAAACCAAACAAACAAACATTATAAGAATCAGAACATTTTTCTGATTCTGAGATTGAGACTGCTCAGTTTAAAACAAACAAAGTAATATATGGTAACACTTTATTTCGAGTGGTCCTGTAGATAATCAACAAACTGTTAACAGTTTACCTCTTTACTGTTAACCTCAACTCAAAACATAATCCTATCCCTCCTATGGTTTTTGGTATGTAACTGAGAGTCTGTTGGGTGTTTATTTAATCTAAAAGGACCACCAAAATAAAATGTCACCAAATATATATATACATATATATATATATATATATATATATATATATATATATATACACTGTTTAAATCTGAGCTTGTGACAAAGAAAAACATTAGACAGCTCCAGCATCAGTATAATTTTATGTATTTATCTGCAGCCAAATTGGTTTAATATTGTTATATTATATTATAGTATTGTATGATTATGTAATTATACATACATACACGCACACACACACACACACGCACACACATATATATATATATGTAAGTATGTGTGTTTGTGTGTGTGTGTGTGTGTGTGTGTGTGTCCAAATGTCTGAACTTAATTCCAAATGTTTGAAAGGAGAATAAAAACAATGAATAGAAGCATGTAGTGCTTTTGTGTGCAGGAAGGCATGCATGTCACAGGAGACGGGCCTCACGGGTGAGAAAGGAAGCTCTAAAGAGGGTCTGTCAGCAACAATGTTTTGTTCTGCTTCAGTTTCACGCAAAAGGTTAAACCTCACACATCCTGTTTAGCTGAATGGCATCTTGTTACATTCACATTGTTCTGAGACACTTTTGCTCCTTTTATTCCACTGTATTCTTTTCAGTGTATTTTGAACATTAGAGATTTTAGGGTTGAGCTTCAGAAATGAAAGTTCATGTTGAGCTGTGTTTCCGTCCTGTTTACTGGCATTTCCATGGACTGTAAGAACTCACACATTCCAGTAAAATACTGTTTAAGGGCTGCATGTGTGAATGACACAAAGCCTGAACATTATTGGTAAAAATAGCCTGGTAATATCCCAGGTTTGAAATGTGGCAGAGCCTTTGGTTGGCTGAGTGTATTGAGGTTGACGTTTAGTTTCACTTCCCGTCAGTGGTCAGCATACAGTCACATGACCATGAGCCGAGGGTTAAGTGCTGGATGGTGCGGTAACACAACTGCCCCAATACAGCTTTACTGGACAACAAAATGAGAAGTGATGAGTCACTGTTGTTGGCCTGAACAATACAGTACGTCATGAGTATTTTTATTTGGTGCATGTGAGAAAACCACTGTGCGTGAATAGGCAAAATATTTAAACTGCCCTCAGATACTTACAGATACTTAAAGATACTTCAGTCACTACAGGAACTTCAATGCAAACTGGCTGAGCTATTCTTAGGTTATAGAAGTGTGTAATAAAACTTTGGGCCTGTCAGTGGGCCCTGGTCATTTTAATGGGTTAAAAAAATAAATTACATCAATTCCAACCTCAAAAACATGTCAAACCAACTTCTTCTCTTTTCTACTTTTTGCGGTGTAAAACCCAAAAGCAACAACAACAACAAAAACATCAGCACTGAGAACCGCAGAGAAAAACATTAAATCTGTCATGTGATCACTGGTGAGTTTATAATATTTATAAGTCAAAACACACAGTTGTTTATCATCAGCATAGTGATGACAGGTAATGCTATGTATGTATATAACTGTACTGAAGCCTACCTTTTGAGAATAGCAGTGGTCCTAGAACAGAGCCTTATGGTACACCATGTACTTTTGTACAAGCAGAAAGTCTGACGCTTACATTCGTACATCTATATAGTCAGTGGCCAGTCAGGCAGGATCTAAACCAGGAGTATGCCCTTCCTGTGATTCCAAGAAGGTTTCCTGGCATGTCTAGAAAAATATTATGGTTCATGGTATCAAATGCTTCAATACAATTTAATGTCTGGCATGCATTTATTTTGGCCTTTCTGCCTGCCTTGCCTCCACTGGAGCTCTTGAAGGATCCTCAGTCTTGATGAACAGAGATAGATCTGAGAAACAGGGAGGGTGCAGGGTGATGTTCGGGGTGCAAAATGCTTAGGTGGGAAGGAAGATGAGTTTCAGGCACAGTCCTCCCCCCAAACTTAGGTTATTTCATAACTCAATTTGTGGAATGGATTGGTGCAACATAGGTTGGTGAAACAGAATCACTTTACTGTACCTGCATATGGTAGAAATTTGTCTTGGTGGAAATTCTGAAGTTTAGAATATCTCACTAAGGAGCACTGAGATGATGGAACTTATTTCAAACAGCTTGTGTTGTCTGTTTCATGTTCCAAGAAAAGGTTTAAACCTCATACATCCTGTTTTGGTTTGAAGTTTCATTCCATGCTACTTGAACATCCAACTCTAAGCCATTAACGAACAGTATGTCTATAACTGGGAACTCAAACCAGCTGAAATGCTTTACCTGGTGTGAAAAGGGTAAATAGCTAAAGCACAGTGCCAGTCTGCTGATGTGACCTGCTGAGTGAGCAGAACTGTAGAGAACTGAAAGCGATGTTTAGTTTCATTTTCAGTCAGTGGCCCTGATACTCTGTTACTGGATATCGAAACAAAAACTGATGAGTCATTAAAATTAGAGAGACTGAACAATAATATACTGTACTGTGCAAAAGTCAGAGAGCAGCCTTCATTCAATTTACTGTCAAAGAACCATTTAGTACAGGTTCTTTTTCAGCATCAGGAAAAAATCCAGAAAACTCCACAGAGGCCTCAACAGCTAAATCTAATCTCAGCTGTTTGAGTGTTCAGTGAGTCACTCTTTACCTTTATTCCAGCTTCCATTCTTTTCAGGAGACTCACTTTCAGTTTCTCAAAGAAATCTGCAGACACACCTCCAAAGTTCAGTCTTCTGGACTCTGGGGTGGTCAGAGCTTCTTGGCAATTTTTTAGAATCTCCTCTATTTGCCTTTATTTTTGCTTTGACTTTCTTCTTCTCTATGCAGGTGGATAATCATATATGTTTCAGACTGAGATTAGAGATATTTACGAATGCTAACGTTTAGATCAATACAATAATCTATGCTACAACACTGCATGTTTGTCCTACAAGTGCATGTTTGGCTGTGAGAGATAAAAACAGGTGAAGCTAACGCGCTGCCCACTTTCAGGTCCCCACAGAGAAAACGAAAGAGAAAACCACCACAACACGTCACAGGAAAACCATGCTTTCACACCATGACTGGATCGCGCTACTGTTTGGCTCAGTCTCAAATACGGGGCTGCAAACTTTGAAGGTTATGATTGTTAGCTGCACTTTCTGATTTGAAAATAATACTGAATATGTTTATTGCTTCATTATTTTCAGTTGTTTATTGTTTATTATGGTTATTAACCACATTAAATGGCACTAAAGGATGTTATGAAAGATGTAAGGTACTTCTATTAAATGTTAAGATACAGGTAATGAGTACAGGGGCTGTTAGAATTTAAGTCTCTTGTGTGCCTCATTGAAAGAGAGGAAACCAACACCAGCAGGATCTCATGAATTCACAAATTTCAAAACTAAAAGCACAACAGTTTATTACCCACAAGAGTCGGGTAGAGTTAAGAGCATGGCTCAGTGTAATTTAGCATTGTTTAGTATGCCATTTTTATTTACTTGGGTTGACTCTAAAACAGCATATAGATTCAAATAGCAAAGAAAGGAGGCCTGCTGCAGGGGAGTAGGAGGAGTTTACACAAGTGGGAACATTTCGATTTGAGTTTTTTCCTTTAAACTTGCCTGAGTGCAGCATCAGTGAGCCAGAATATCTGATGGTTTAGCCTTCACACTAAGCTAACTTTAGCCTCTAGTGCTAATGAGGATATGAATTAAGTACACACTTAAAAAAGGTTGTTCTTCAGGAGTTCCATATAGAACCTTGAACACTCAAAGAACCCTCTCCATCAATCTGGAGAATGATTTCAACCATTTCTTTGAGAGTTTAAGGATTTATATAGAACCATTTTTTTTTTTTACTAAAGAACCCTTGAAGAATCATCTTTTTTAAGAATGAACAATTATGTTCCCTCACTCAAGGTAATGGAAATGCATCCTTGAGGGTTCCACCCCAGTGACAGTTCAGTACACCCCAGTATCCTCACTTCCTGCAATCTTGTATGAAATGTAACAAGTACTGATTGTGATTCTGGATCCTCTCACCTCAGCCTCGCTTGGGCTTCAAAACGTTGGTCATGTGAAATGAGTGTGTAGTGCATTATTTCACTCTAGCTTTAGAGGAACGCTCCTCTGCAGGCCGTTGCTGTTGAGGAATTAAGGCTACATTAACAGAGCAGGTAAAAGTGGCCCAAATCTGATTTTCTCACCAAATCAGATTTTTTGTTTGGCTGTTCACATTATCTTTTAAATGTGATCTGTATGCGACATCAGTCTGAACAGATCAGCTCCTAAACTGACCCACATGCGCAAAAGAACAATGCTTCACGTTGCTTCACACAGCTCATCCAAAGGTAAACAATCATGACCGCCAACAAACGCCAGCCGCTTTCGATGGGTTCAGTTTCATCTTTGCCAGCATGACAGGAGCCATCATGAAGCTTCACTGACTGACAGCTTGGCTGATCACCCAGAATGTGTTTGAGCTTGCTGTAAAAAGAGCACAGTCACTTCTTTTGTTCGTGTTCCCGGATTCTTTAAACTTAGTTTTCAGACTTTTAACTGTTCTTTGACACTGCAGCCTCGTTCTCCTCCGCATTCAGACATTTCTTTCTAATTCTCTTCAAACATGGAGGGTTTTGGATGATTCACTTCTCATTTTTTGTACAGAAACACCAGCCCAAAGGTAAAGGCTTATGAGTTCTCGGCAGCATGAAATAGTGATGACTGTTAAGTTAGATTGATGTAAAAGTCACATGAATTCCAGTCAGGCTGTTCAGACTGAGTCGCATTGACGCATATCAGATAGAACCTTGAACACTCAAAGAACCCTCTCCATCAATCTGGAGAATGATTTCAACCATTTCTTTGAGAGTTTAAGGATTTATATAGAACCATTTTTTTTTTTTACTAAAGAACCCTTGAAGAATCATCTTTTTTAAGAATGAACAATTATTTTCCCTCACTCAAGGTAATGGAAATGCATCCTTGAGGGTTCCACCCCAGTGACAGTTCAGTACACCCCAGTATCCTCACTTCCTGCACTCTTGTATGAAATATAACAAGTACTGATTCTGATTCTGGATCCTCTCACCTCAGCCTCGCTTGGGCTTCAAAACGTTGGTCATGTGAAATGAGTGTGTAGTGCATTATTTCACTCTAGCTTTAGAGGAACACTCCTCTGCAGGCCGTTGCTGTTGAGGAATTAAGGCTACATTAACAGAGCAGGTAAAAGTGTATCAGATTTCAGTGCTACATATGAAAGCGTCTCAAATCGGAATTGAAAATGTCAGATTTAATGTATTTTTTGCTGTTCAAACTGACACACAGACACATATGTGTCCCATAAAAGATTGGATTTGGGCCACTTTTACCTGCTGTGTGAACATAGTGTAAATCTGTCTAGCAACTTTAATCAAGACACACCCGGGGGTCATGACAAGGTCACCTCCACCTTCTCCACCTCCGGACTTTATGGCTGTGTTTGTCACCAGCTTTACCACCTGCATGTGTACAGATCGATGTTTTTATGTCAGAATCAGGTGATGGTCATGTGGGAAGCTCAGTAAATGAATTTGTATTTGAATCAATTTTAAAACAGATAAGTGTGGCAAATAAACAAAAAAAAAAACAAAAAAAATCAGGAGGGTGTAAATACATTTTCACTAGAAATTTTATCACTAAAGCATGCTTTTATGACTGGTGTGCAGGTAGCTATTAGAAAGATAGACAACCTTGTTTTGAGTCATGTGTGGGAAGCTACAGGTCAGCAATAAAACACCAGCTACTGACCTTCAGGTGCTGTAATAGTGAACATTATTTACCTCATTTACTGTATTAATTACCTCATTTACTGTATTCATGAACACACACACACACACATACTAATCACATGTCCCTCAGGGACATTACAGTCTCTGTATTGCTACAAACTGTGCAACATCAGTGCAGTGTGATCTATTATTATAACAAATCCACCATATGACTGTAATCTCAGACATTACACTAGTGTTACCATATATATGTGTGTGTGTGTGTGTGTGTGTGTGTGTGTGTGTGTGTGTGTGTGTCACTGATTCTTTCTATAATGGTGTGCACTCTGTTTGAGACGTGATTTGACTCATCGTGGATTTTTCATCTTCTTGTGTTTAATTCCGCTTGTGAAATTTATTATTATTCACTACAGCCTTGTCAACTAAACCCAACTCATCACTTACTCAAAGTTTACAAGCAAAAGAAATGAAGGGTTTGAGTGCAAAACACATTACAGGTGCTTTTTTGAACATTTATTCTTCTGTGATATACAGTGCTGTGAAAAAGTATTTGCCCCTTCCCAATTCTTTGTATTTTTCATATTTGTCACACTTCAGTGTTTCACATAGTAAAAGTGCTTTTAATATTAAAAGAGTAAGATAACTAACCACAAATGCTGTTTCTAAATGATGATTTCCTTTCTGATGATTTTTAAAGAATAAAAAAAGCTGTTCAGCCGTACATGGTCCTATTTGAAAATGTCAGATTTAATGTATTTTTTGCTGTTCAAACTGACACACAGACACATATGTGTCCCATAAAAGATTGGATTTGGGCCACTTTTACCTGCTGTGTGAACATAGTGTAAATCTGTCTAGCAACTTTAATCAAGACACACCCGGGGGTCATGACAAGGTCACCTCCACCTTCTCCACCTCCGGACTTTATGGCTGTGTTTGTCACCAGCTTTACCACCTGCATGTGTACAGATCGATGTTTTTATGTCAGAATCAGGTGATGGTCATGTGGGAAGCTCAGTAAATGAATTTGTATTTGAATCAATTTTAAAACAGATAAGTGTGGCAAATAAACAAAAAAAAAAACAAAAAAAATCAGGAGGGTGTAAATACATTTTCACTAGAAATTTTATCACTAAAGCATGCTTTTATGACTGGTGTGCAGGTAGCTATTAGAAAGATAGACAACCTTGTTTTGAGTCATGTGTGGGAAGCTACAGGTCAGCAATAAAACACCAGCTACTGACCTTCAGGTGCTGTAATAGTGAACATTATTTACCTCATTTACTGTATTAATTACCTCATTTACTGTATTCATGAACACACACACACACACATACTAATCACATGTCCCTCAGGGACATTACAGTCTCTGTATTGCTACAAACTGTGCAACATCAGTGCAGTGTGATCTATTATTATAACAAATCCACCATATGACTGTAATCTCAGACATTACACTAGTGTTACCATATATATGTGTGTGTGTGTGTGTGTGTGTGTGTGTGTGTGTGTGTGTGTGTGTGTGTGTCACTGATTCTTTCTATAATGGTGTGCACTCTGTTTGAGACGTGATTTGACTCATCGTGGATTTTTCATCTTCTTGTGTTTAATTCCGCTTGTGAAATTTATTATTATTCACTACAGCCTTGTCAACTAAACCCAACTCATCACTTACTCAAAGTTTACAAGCAAAAGAAATGAAGGGTTTGAGTGCAAAACACATTACAGGTGCTTTTTTGAACATTTATTCTTCTGTGATATACAGTGCTGTGAAAAAGTATTTGCCCCTTCCCAATTCTTTGTATTTTTCATATTTGTCACACTTCAGTGTTTCACATAGTAAAAGTGCTTTTAATATTAAAAGAGTAAGATAACTAACCACAAATGCTGTTTCTAAATGATGATTTCCTTTCTGATGATTTTTAAAGAATAAAAAAAGCTGTTCAGCCGTACATGGTCCTATTTGAAAATGTCATTGCCCCCTTAGCTACTAAATCAACTAGTTAACCAAATTCAATTGACTGTTGGGTTCAGTTTCACTATCCACACCCAGACATGATCACTGCCAGAACTGCTGAATCTAAACATGACTTAAATAAAACCTGGCAATGTCAAGCAGACTAGAAGGTCTCAAGTCATGGGTCTGGTTACATCTGGCGTAAAAGCTAACGCCGCATTCCACTATAAAAACATCATACCAACAGTGAAATATGGTGGTGGTAGTGTGATAGTTTGTAAGTCTGCTAAATGAACACACGATGAGGAATAATTGGTGGATATTGCATTGATGCATTGCAGTATATTACAGTATCTTGTGGAATGGCACAAGGAAGTCAGTGGGAGGTTATTTTTAAGCAGTATCTTAAAGCACATACACTGATCAGGTATTACATTATGACCACCTCCTTGTTTCTATGCTCATTGTTCATTTTTTCAGCTCCACTTACTATATAGGTGCACTTTGTAGTTCTACAGTTACAGACTGTAGTCCATCTGTTTCTCTGCATACTTTGTTAGCCCCCTTTTACCCTGTTCTTCAGTGGTCAGGACCCCCATGGACACAGCAGTGCTGCTGGAGTTTTTAAACACTGTGTCCACTCACTGTCCACTCTATTAGACACTCCTACCTTGTCAGTCCACCTTGTAGATGTAAAATCAGAGACGATAGTTCATCTGCTGCACAGTTTATGTTGGTCATCCTCTAGTTCTTCATCAGTGGTCACAGGACGCTGCCCACAGGACGCTGTTGGCTGGATATTTTTGGTTGGTGGGCTATTCTCAGTACAGTGACACTGAGGTGTTTAAATACTCCAGCAGCACTGCTGTGTCTGATCCACTCAGACCAGCGCAACACACACTAATACACCACCACCACATCAGTGTTACTGCAGTGCTGAGAATGATCCACCACCCAAATACCACTGAAGAACAGGGTAAAAGGGGGCTAACAAAGTATGCAGAGAAACAGATGGACTACAGTCTGTAATTGTAGAACTACAAAGTGCACCTATATAGTAAGTGGAGCTGATAAAATGGACAATGAACACAGAAACAAGGATGTGGTCATAATGTTATGCCTGATCGGTGTATTAAAAGAAAATTGGAAAACACTGAAATTTTCCTTTTATAAGGTTTTTTGAGCCATGTGAGTACAGCTTCCAATCTGGTGCCTGAAACTCATTCATTCAGTTTGCGTTTTTCTTGTTCAGGTCCTGAAGGGTTTAAGATGTGAAAACATGCTCCTGCACAGTGCAGGTGGGCTACAGCACTGCAGCTGGTTAATAGTGATCTACACGGTATTAGATGCAATACGCTCTATGACCACTAGAGGGCACCACACTCTCATAAACTGGCCCGCTTCATCTGAATGTGGACATGTTTAACATAGTAAATGTACCTAAGAAAAGATCCAACATCAGTTCGCTCTTGCATTTTATTACATATCATCACAGCATGGGGACCTACATCCAGATTACTGTTTAAAACAACTTCACTGATTGATTGACTTGTTAAATGACGAGATTCAAGATGTGGCCAAATTGTGTGTTAAGATAAAAATGTGCAGGATTGGATCTGGAATCTAGCTGATGCCCAGCTGATGACATCTTCTATTAATCAAAACAAGGTGTGGCCTTGCCATGAATCACTCCCACACCTTACCAAGTCACAGCCGCCATTTTACAAAATTAAACATCTGGATACAGAAACTACATTTGAAATGGGCAAGTTTAAACATGCCGTGCCTTGATCAGATAATCAATCAGATCACAGTGAATGGATAATAAATTCCATGTGATGGCTGGGAGCGTCAAGGGAAAATGTGGAACTAAAACTATAATTCTATCCAGCTCAACTACTTTTTTGAAACCAAGAAAGTCTTGTTATGATATATTGTTTTTATGTTTATTTACTTTATTCCAATATTATATTACAAGCAGAAACACACTCTCTGCTGAGATAAATGCCTAGATACATGCTTAAGACATTTGTATGTCTAAAAAATGTAAAATTGAAGTTTTCTGACTTCAAACTGATTTATTAGCCATAAACAGATTCATGCACATAGTTCTCATTACATTTCTCCAATGCAAAGCATAAATATTGAAAAAGACATTATCACCATATTAGCAAATAATTAAAAGTCTGCTTTTCTGAAGGTGAAGCTGCTGCTTGTTGATGATCACATGCTTGCTGCATAGATTATATTCCTCCTTGAAGTTTTGGCTCTGTTCCATCTGTAACAATATTCATTTCTAAATAAATTAACATGAAAGCAATAGATTCATGAAAAAAATCTAATTCATTTATTTTTATTTTAGCCCAAAGTAGTTGTTATCTGGAGTATGTCAATATTTATATACAGTATGTCATACATTTAGGTAGGTAATTTATTATTATTATTATTATTATTATTATTATTAACACTTTATTGTTTGTATTTACATTATTATATTAATATTATTTATTTATTGTTATATATTTTTTTTTACTTTTGTTACAAAATCTTAAAGTGGTTTACACTGGAATATCAGTAAAACATCAGAAAAGAAAAACTGCTCGAATGAAAATATCTTCCACCAGCTGAGCTGTAAAAGATCTTAGGAGGTTACAGTAAGCCTCGCTCAGCTGAATGAAGTAGTTTGGTGGGTTATAACACTTCAACACTTTAGTAGCATATGCTAGAGCTCTGCCTTTTAGATGTGCTAAAATATCATAGTCGACACAGACCTGAAAAGGAACTCTGAATGAACTGAACACGACTGAAGAAAATATTGAAATGCAGCCTTAGAGACACTACTGATATGATGATAAACTAGCATCCAGGGTTATATTACAGTCCTTAACTGAATATATCCATTAAGGATGCAAGGAGATTTAAGGCCCAAACTTTAACAGTTCAACAGGAGTTCTTGGTCATCATGGTTTTATGTCTTGACACATATAACAGAGCATCATTAGCATAAAAGTGAAAGGCAACATTGTGTTCACGAATTATCCATCCCAGGGGCTATAAATGAAGAATGGTAAGGGCCCCAGAACAAAGCCTTGGGGGACACCATAATGCACTCTTCTATGTTTGAAAAACTTCCCATTTATAGTGACAAGTTTAAAAGGAAAGTTGAAAAGCTCTTGCGAGACGAAAACATGAGGGCATGATAATCTAAACTACTCCGTCCTGCCTTCAGGGTTTGTTAGCTCTTTATTAATCCTTTGAAATAGCACTCATGTTAAGACAAAAAGGAAAATGGAACTGTCAAAAGATGTGCATGTATTTATTTAATCAGAATGAATTTCCAGAGAACTGGGGTTTGGAGATGCCACCTCCGACTACCAGGTGGGTTCATGCTCTTCTGTTAGCATCACAATGGCTTTTATACATTCTTACGCCTGCATACATTTGCCAAACATCTAAATGTTCACTTCCTCTGCAGCATGTAGAGCTGTGTTAGGTTAGCTGAATAATGAGACCTTATATTTAATGTAATATTTTAGTTAGTGTTAGTGCTAGTTCGTAAAAAAAGAGTGTTTTGCTTTTTGTTTTACAAAATTACTGCTTGGTAAATAAATTCTAAGCATTAGAAAAAGGTCATTGAAACTAAATTCAGGGGACAGGCACAGGCAAAACAAAATTTACCTTTACACATGTGGAAAGCTGGCTTTTGTGGCAATACCACACTGGTTCCTCTTGTTCCTGGACATTCTCACATAGCCCTTTTCTCCCCACTGGACACCCCAGCTGCCAAATAAATGAATGTTAGTGTTTGATTGTTGGAGCAATTATGTTGGGTATTCTCATTTGATTAAACCACATTACTAGGATATTCAGGAAATTGCCGTTTTTTATTAGTCTGCTTGTTTACCTGTTCTTGACCACCCAGTAGTCCTCCCCACGGCTGTCAGTGCCATAACCAACAACCAGGATAGCATGAGTCAGTTTAGTGCTGCTGCAGTATGGATCATCATAAACACCTACAATCAATGAAGATATCCAGTCATTGGGCCACATTCATGAAACTAGAGTGAGTGTAAATAGTTCTTAAAACACGTTTTACATAAATATCTGCATTCATGAAAGTTTTCAGGTTGAAATTTTATCCAAAATCTTCTGTTTCTTGGGGGCAGATGGGAGTGAAATGTGTGAAATTTGATACAAATATCATGTCAAATTGAATAGAAGTGAATACAAGTTTGTTCTGTTTCCTTTTACAGTGGATCATTAAGAGTGCCCTTCATAGCTTGTAGCCATATGAATCTAAACGTAACTGAACAGATTTTATGAAATAATTTCAGACTTTTGAAGTGACCCTGCCGATGAGCTCTCAGAGATGACAGGATCTGGCCTACAGTCATGTAAATGCATGAATGGGGATCCTGAAGGGGGACTGGCTGTGTTTGAATGTAACAACGGTATATGCTGCAACAGACTTTAAAAAACTCTTATAGTGAAATTCAAAAATTTGCTTACTTTGATTTAAATAAAACAATTTATTTATTATGGAAATATTAAAGTTAAAGTTTCAAAACATACTGTTCACTCTCCAGTCCATTCAGTCCATATTTGGAAATTAAAGCAGCCCATTTTGAATATCCATCTATTCAGCCTATAGCACTTTAGCCCTGCCCCTACTCACTTAAGTTATCAGGAGTGTTTCAGCCCAGACTGCTTTTCGAATGAGGCAGCCGATCAGTGTAAAGAGACAGACTTAGTCAGACGTGTGTATAAAATGAACAAAAGAGGCTTTACTGGTTTGAATGAGATCCAAAGTCGTGTTCAGAAAACAGGCAAAGGTCAGATCCAAAATAAGCCACATACAACAATAAGCAAACATAACAAACTACAGGTCCAGGCAACCAAAATCCAAAAGGCAAAAAGGCAAAGTAAAAAAAAAACAAAAAAACAGAAGATAAGTCTTCACAGAAAATCAACCAGATCATGACAAAGAAATGCTTTGTAGAAGAAGCAAAACTTCACATGAAGTTAAGCTAAAGTCTGACATACTAAACTGATCACATGATATACGATAGCAGGTAAAACAAATCACTAGTCGGGCGAGGCAGATCTCTGATACATGGATTGGCATGGTGTCACAGTCATGTGTTCACCCAGAGGGTTTTGGGAATTGGAGTCCAGAGAGTCAAGACTGGAGGGATATGTAGCAATCAGAACAGCGCTTATTTACACATATCAGTCTTAAAGGCACAGTAACACCCTATGTTAACTTTGTCCATTTGTAAAAAAACGTTTTTTCCTCTTTTTGTTGTTGACTTTCCTTCCTTTCAATTTCAAATATATCAAATTGTTGTGTTTTTACCAGTTCTGGTCCTAGTTCACTGCGGATCATGTGCTTTTCCTCAGTACAGACAGTATATGGGAATGGGTAAAGGGTGTGTGCAGCACTACAGACAACATGTGAAATTAGTAAATGAATATTGGTCTTAGAGGCTCACCTGACTTGTAGAGCTGGAAGGTGTGACGGCTGATGTCTATAGCTGCAGAAATTGGGCCGATTACAGCCACGGCTTCCTGCAGACTCTTCTCATCTCCACTGGGCAGCTCATAGTAGTCACTGCAGGTAGCGCTAGCATTCAGTGGGTTAAATCTGCACATTCCATCCTGGAGAAAAGAAGGTATTAATCAGGACAGGGTTCAGGATAGGCTAGTATTCTGGTTCACACTGTTATCTATAAAATGGACAAAAGCATGGACAAAATAAAGAGTTCAAAGTGGCATATTCTTCTGCTTTATTATACTTAACAGTATTAACCAGAATGCTAGCCATCCTCACACAGCCTGTCATAAGCAAGACTATTTGAGATTACTTAAAAACACAACACAGCTTGAACTTCCATTATTATGCTAACTTAATTAGCTTCAATTGTGTAAAGTTGCTGTTTTGATGAACTTCTGATCTGCACTGTGGTTCCATTAATTGATTTAAATGTTTAATTTGCAGGTCTGCTCTCCACTCATCACTAAGCTGTAGATTCACCTTGGCCTCATAAGGATAGGAGCTTTCGGACTGCAGGCCTCCGCTGTGCATGACGTACTCGAAGGCCTGGTCCATCCAACCACCTGCACAGCCACGGTTTCCGAAAAGCCAGGAGCAGTCCACCAGTTGTTGCTTGCTCAGGCGCACCAGCTTCCTCGTTTTCCGGAACATCTGACCCTCTAGCGCCCCCACCTGATAGATAGCAAAGAATGATTGAGGAAAACAGAGACAACTAAATGCTAAGTGTTGGTTCTCTACTTAATACTACAAAAGTATTAATGTAGTGGCTTCTTAGGTGAGCAAAGAAAAACAAGAGACATTAAACGCCAAAAAAGACACAAATACAAACAAACACTGAATACATTAATAACAAGTGAGATCATTAGTTTTGTATTATTATTTGTATTATACAATTTGTATTAGCTACCTAGCCGCTCTTGGCCGGATATGTTTGAGTGGTGTACCTAGCCGTGCCTGTTCAGTCCTGCATCCTTTTTACTACCTAATTTGAGATCGATAGAGTAACTTGGAGGGAAGAGCCCCTTAAATATGAGGCAAAAGCCCCCTTTTGCAGATCATGAAGTCACAAAGATGTTCACTGAATAGCTGGCATTGGCATTGCATGTTAGCTGTAGTGTTCCTATTTTACTGTCATCCATCTTCTGTCTTGGTTTATTAAAATTAAGACAAACAATAATACACTGCAGTTTCTGCACCCCTGGTCAAATTCAAAGTATTTGTTGATTTTCTAAGTAAAAACAAGTTAAGCCCTCGAAATCTCAAAATTATTTTTCAGCAACTACAGGGACTTCAGTGCAAACTGGCTGAACTGTTCTTAGATTATAGAAGTGTGTAATAAAACCTTGGGGCTGCTGGTGGACCTATCCATCTGAGGGGTTAACACATCCTCTACATCCATCCATCCATTATCTAAACCGCTTATCCTTCTGGGTCGCGGTGGGGTGCTGGAGCCTATCCCAGCTGTCATTGGGCAGAAGGCAGGATACACCCTGGACAGGTCGCCAGTCCATCGCAGGGCAGACAGACAGACATACACATTCACACACACTCACACCTAGGGGCAATTCAGCATGTCCAATCAGGCTGACTGCATGTCTTTGGACTGTGGGAGGAAACCGGAGTACCTGGAGGAAACCCATGCAGACACGGGGAGAACATGCAAACTCCACACAGAAATGACCCTGGTCGGGAATTGAACCCAGGCCATTCTTGCTGGGAGGCGACAGCGCCACCCACTGCACCACATATTATGTGAAAAACAGAACAGGAAATGTGGCCTGTTCAAAAGTCATTGCACATTTTAGATTGTTTCCAATATGCTTAACTCAGCAAACAAAACGAAATTGAGCACTAACATTCTCAGGACAATGCTATAATTAAGTGTGCTCTCTACAGAGAATGTGTTAACTTATTTACACTTAAAAAAGCAGCAAAGCATGTGATTTAATTTGGCTGTTCAAACCTTTGTATACAAATGTAAATTGACTCAGATCTCAAATTTATTTTAAAATCTAATAATTTTTGTGTTGTACTTTGATTAATAACAACTCCTGAAAAATGCAAAGCCTAAAATGTGAACATTTTCCCTACACTATTATATGGACATCTGTCTTAGCACCTTACATATATGACCATGCTTGCGTGATGGACCTTGTCTAACCTACTGTAACTCACCGCACTGAAGGCCCAGCAGGATCCACAACACATTTGATGGTCAACCTCAGTCACGTAGCCTGCGGCCTTCCAATCCACAGTGCTGGGCAGAAAAGCACTCCCTGCCTGTCGGAGGATTGTAGTTGGACTGCGGGTCTTGGTCCTGTTGAAGGGTCCCAGGCAGCCCCTGAACATCTGCTGGTACTCCTGGTTGTCCTGTAGGAGGACATTCATAAAATCAGTGACACTTTGTTTTGAGTGTTTTTTAGATGAAACAAACACTCAACAGACTCTCAGTAACATATGAGGGTTGGGATTAGGTTTCAGGTTAAGGTTAAGATTAGGGTTAGGATTAGGACTAGGGTGAGGATTAAGGTTAGGGTTAGGGTTAGGTTGTGGGTAAGGTTGGGTAAGTTTAGGTTTTGCGTAATGGAAGTAACATATTAATACATCTACTTAAAATAAGCAATGTATCAACAGAACATCTACAAGATATTTACTTCAGTGTATTCAGATGCTTCACTACTGTTACTGCACTGATATGTTGTTGATGTGCTACTGGTAATCTGTTAAGAGTTTATTAATCATCTACAAAGGACCACTCCAAATAAAGTGTTACCATTAAATCAAATGAGAAACTGTAGAACAGACTCAGTTTATAGCACAATACCTACATTTAGAGTCAGTTATTCATTCAGCCTAATGAGAAACTGTAGAACAGACTCGGTTTATATCACAATACCTACATTTAGAGTCAGTTATTCATTCAGCCTAATGAGAAACTGTAGAACAGACTCGGTTTATATCACAATACCTACATTTAGAGCCAGTTATTCATTCAGCCTAATGAGAAACTGTAGAACAGACTCAGTTTATAGCACAATACCTACATTTAGAGTCAGTTATTCATTCAACCTAATCAGAAACTGTAGAACAGACTCAATTTGTTTCACAATATCTACAAAACCACTCATAGCCACTGTGTTTGCACAAATGTTTGCACATTTGCTTTTCTGATGCCGCCAAAAGATGAGCATATAGTTACTGGACTTGACACAGACATTAGCATCTATATATGTGAGATCTCACCATGTCTGCAAAGTGGTTCATGCCGAGTCTGTAGCTTTTGAGGCCCTGGTCAGCCAACATGTTGTGCTCCAGGACCAGCTTAAGATTGTTCAGCCAGATCATCTTACGCTGAGACTCTTCTTCCACTGAACCATAACTCTTACCTGAGAGATTAACACATACACAATGTACCCTTTCCTTCTTCCAGACACATACAACTTTATACTATATAGAGTGTGAAAAGACAGGAAATATTCACGAGAACACAGATCATAGATATTCATCGAAAGAACAATTCAAGTTTGTTTAACAAACTTGTTTATATACATACTTGAATGAATTAAGCCCTAAAAAATCACTAAGACGCCTGAACAGTATTGTTGCCCCTAGGATGAAACTTGCAGTTTTTGCACTTTTCAGTTGTAATAATTCTCATACTTAACTCCGCATTTGATATACAGAAGCAGATATGATGCAGATTTCTCACCAAAGTTCAGTTTCCAGGTGTTGAACTCCTCCTCCAGATCCTCCAGAGAGACGCTGGCAGCACCGGCCACAACCACAAGAGCAGCGACAGCGAGCAAAACCCTCATTCTGTACAGTGTAAGTCTCTGTGGTAGTTTAAAAAAGTGAGCAGAAAACACAAAATAAC